TTCTGACGGCACCCATTCACTGCAGAGCATCCACTGCTGAGACACTGATGCAATGCTGCATTTCTACAAATCTGATGAAGAAACAAACTCATCCTGATCTTGGATGGCCCGAGGATGAGCACATTTACAGCTCCTTTTCAGTTTTGAACTATTCTTTTAATAAACTGTTAGTTTAACCTGTTATTTGTTCAGAGTGATTTAAGGACACTAACCAGTTGTTCCTCTGAAAACAGCTGTAAATGTCATTCTGATAAGCAATAATGAGCTCCTCACAGTGTGAACTTGCAGTATGTTTGTTGCTGTCTTATATTGAATGTTTGAATTGATTGAGGATGTGTAGAAATGGAGCTCATTGATCTTGTTGATGCTCTTCTGCAGGATTCCTCTGTGGGCTGGAGTGTTGATAACCATCATTGACACTTTCGTCTTCCTGTTTTTGGACAAGTACGGTAGGTCTGCACTGAAGGAGCGTGAGAGTGATGGCACCGGCTCGTGTCGTGGCGCTAATGCGAGTGTCTGGTCTGTCTTCAGGTCTGAGGAAGCTGGAGGCGTTCTTTGGGTTCCTCATCACCATCATGGCCCTCAGCTTTGGTTACGAGGTTCAGTGCAGCTGCAGCATGTTGTCAGCAGGTGAGTGTGTAAGCGCTCGGCGTGTGACGTGTCTCTCTGCTCTGGTTGTCTGCAGTATGTGCGTGTGGCTCCAGACCAGGCCGAGGTGCTGAAGGGCATGTTTGTGCCGTACTGCAGCGGCTGTGGACCCACGCAGCTGGAGCAGGCCGTCGGGATCGTGGGAGACGTCATAATGCCTCATAACATCTACCTGCATTCTGCTCTCGTGAAGGTCAGTCTACACACCTGAGTGATCACATCACAGAAATAACTGCATGGTGTGTGTGTGTGCGAGTGAGTGTGTGTGAGTGTGTGTGAGTGTGTGTGTGTGAGAGTGTGAGAGAGTGTGTGTGTGTGCAAGTGAGTGCGCGAGTGTGTGCGCTTGTGTGAGTGTGAGCGCGTGAGCGTGTGTGTGTGTGTGTGAGAGAGAGTGTGTGTGAGAGTGTGTGTGT